TCCCCGCTCTGTCCCTCCTCAGGTGGCCTGTCCCCCCTCCATCACTCCTCAGGTGGCCTGTCCCCCCTCTGTCCCTCCTCAGGTGGCCTGTCCCCCCTCCGTCCCTCCTCAGGTGGCCTGTCCCCCCTCCGTCCCTCCTCAGGTGGCCTGTCCCCCCTCCGTCACTCCTCAGGTGGCCTGTCCCCCCTCCGTCCCTCCTCAGGTGGCCTGTCCCCGCTCCGTCCCTCCTTGGGTAGCCTTCTGGGGCAGGGGCCTGGCCAGCCACTACTCTGGGATCTTCTCCTCTCCTCCCGGTTCAGCCTGAGGAGTCTTCACTGCCCTCCCCTCTCCAGCGCAGGCCAGGCCGTGGAAGCCTGACCTTGGGGGGAGAGGTGGCAGAGCAGGTGAGCTTCCTGGACAGACCCTCTGAGTCGGGCTCACCTCCCCCAGGGCTCTAGCAGTGACCCTCCAGGAATACACAGCAGGCCGTGGGGCTCAGACCTGCCCCGGAAGGTAGAGCTTCTCCACCTCAGTTCCATCAGCTGACAAAGATGAATGCCAGAGCTCCAGTCCCTGGACGCCTCCCCCCTCACGACAGAGCCACCCTCCGGGCTGCAGGTGTCCTCACCTCCCGGGCATCACCGGCCACACTGCATGCTGCAGCCTTCACAGTGGCCGCCAGTCAGGGAGCAGGCCCTCAGCTCTGGGTCCCGCCCGCAGCCGGCCTCCATGGGGGACCAGCCAGCCAGCCGCCCGGGGTCCCTGACTTCCGTGCAGACCTGGGGTGGGACCCGCGGCATAGGGTCCGCTGGGTACCCCTCAGACAGCCTCCGGCCAGAGCGCATCTTGCAAGCAGCCCACGGCAAGGTGAGGAGGACCAGGATGGACAGATGGAGCCCCAGGTGCGAGGGGACGTCAAGGTATCAGGTGTGGGGACAGCTCAGTGCTGGCCATTGGAACAGAGCAGAGAGTGGGCCGTGGCCAAGGAGGGCCCAGCTAGCTCAGGGGGAAGGAGATCAGGCCAGGCGGCTTCACTGGCAAATTCTACAACACACTTAGGGAAGAACACCACCTTCCCACAAATCCTTCCAGAAACCTGAGAGGATGCAGGACTCCCCAGTTCATCCCGTGAGGCCAGTGTCGATCTGCCCCCAAAACCACTACAAGGAAAGAACTTACAAACTGACACTCCTCATCCAAATACACGCAAAAGATCTGAATTTCAACAAAGTATAAAAAAACACAATCATGATAAAGTAAGGGTTAGTCCAGGAATACAAGTTCGTTTTAACACCTATCAATACAATTCACCTTAGAAATAAAGAGAATAGAACAAATGGAATAAAATAAATAATCTCAATAGATGCAGAGAAAGCATTTGAAGGTATCTAACATTTATTCTAATGAACACTCTCAGCAAGCTAGGGAGAAAAGCACGTCCTCCCCTTGTGGAGGGACACGTCCGTAGAACCCACAGCTGACATAATCCCTAATGACAAAAGGCTGAGCGCCGTCCCCTAGGTTCAGAACAGCATCGAGGACAATTCCTTTCTTGACTGTACCAAACGTCCCAGCAGCTGCTCAGGTAGGAAGAGAGGTGAATGGCATCCAGACTGGAAAGGAAAAAGTAAAATTGTCTTTATTTACAAATAAGATGATTATTCCTGCAGATATCCTATGGCATTCACAGAAATGCACCTATGATACATGAGTATTAAAAAGGCGAAGGACATAAAATCAATACATAAAAAATTATGTGTTAGCGATGGACAGCCAGAAACTGAAATCGAACACACAGTGTACTTTGTAACAACATTGCAGGGATAAAATACTCAGGGATACATCTGTGAACAGATGTGCAAGATCTGTATGCTTGCTGAGGGAATTAAAGAACAAATAAATGAAAAGCCCTGGCACATTAATGATACTGAAGACGCAATATTGTTAAATTCTTCCCAAATTAATCTATAGAGTCAAGTCAATGCAATTTCATTCAAAATCCTGGAAGGTTTTTTTTTTTTGATAGAAATTGAAAATTTATTTTAAACTTTATTTGGAAATGCAAAGTATCTAAATTAGCCACATAGCTTTAAAGAAGGCCAACATTAATGGAAGATTTACCCTGCTTAATTGCAAGGCTTGCTATAAAGATCTGGTAAACAAAACAGTGTGATGTTGTCACAGGGTAAATATAATACGCACATTCCAGGAATAGGTCCCATATATGCTGTCTACGGATTTTTTAAGAAAGATGCACAGATAAGGTAGTGAAGGAAAAAAGAGCCTTGCAACTAATGTGGCTGGAACAATTCCTCTTCTGGAACAATTTCTCTTCTGCAAAAATTGATTTGTATCCATGTCTCACACTGTGCCAAAAAAAAAAAAAAAAAAACTTAAAATAGATTATAGCCATAATGTAAATAAAATACAAAGTTATAAAAGTTCTAGTAAAAGTCATTGGAGAAAATCTTTGTGACCTTGAGTTAGGTAAAGCTATCTAAAATCTGAGAGAAAGCGCAGGATCCGTAAAAGACAAGAGTTCAGTTCGGTAAGTCGGACGTAATCAAAATGAAGGACGTGCTTGTCAAGACAGGAGTATGAGTGACAACAGACACCACAGACCGGCTGAGAACTTGCAGATCACACCTCTGAGCAAAGGCTTATACGTTCAATAAATAAGGATTCCCAGTCATTAATAAGAAATCAAACAACCAAATACAAAATGGACAAAAGAATTGAACAGATGTGTCACCAGAGAAGATCAATGGGTGGGAAGCAAGCACGCGAGAGACTATCGAGGTGGTCAGCCTCGGGGGCGTGGGGCTCACAGCTGCCATGAGGAGTCCTGTGGGTCTGCCGACCGGCTGCCCCACAAAGACCGCCCGCGCCGGGTGTTGGGGAGGCCAGTTGGACGGACGCCTGCCCCGGGAGAGGGTCTTCAGCATGACAAGCAGGCCCTGCCGGAACACTGAGAATGGGGCAAGAGACACCACTCTCCACGGAGCCACGATTTACAGAGAGGGGGCACTCTGCGGTGTCCCTCCATTTGAGGAGTGGGACTGCTCCTGTTAAGTAAGGAAAGCGCCATCCCTCGTTTTCAAACTAACTTCTCAGCTACGTGCCCGAACGCATCGCATTGCAACAGTCGAGTGTGAGGAACTTCCCTAAGTCGTGGGCTTCAGAAGCCTTGGAACGGCTGGCTTCAGGGGGTGGAGAGACGAAAGAGCTTCTCCGTTAAGCACTACACGAGAGGCTGGAGTTCGCATTAGCAGCTTGCTATGCCAACAGGAGATTTAATTATGACTTGTGGGTCCTCCGCATGAGATGGAAACCATATGTGCTTATGGTTTCTGGTCGAAATTGCAGGTAAGAAATTTAAAATCTCCTTTTCTTAAGTTGCCTCTCTCTCTGAGAGAAGAAGCCCGGGGAGGGACTTCAAGTGTCCTACATGGAGGGTCCACAGCAAGCCAGGCCTAGCCTAGGAATTCACCATACTAATTAGTCATCATAACGAGCCTGCAAGTCCTTAACTGCTGCCTCTATTTCATAAATGAGGAATCTGAGGGTCAGAGACCTCAAGCCACTTGTCCAAGATTCAAGAGTGAATCTGAAGATTAAACCAATATTTTCTGATGTGCGTCAGAACATTCTCCACACTCCTGTGGTTCTATATTTAGACTGCGCGAAAGAGGTCTGGGAAATGCATTAACCCATTTGGAGGCGAATTTGGTGCCTTCTCATTTGTTCTAGAGGGTCAGGAAACAACCACAAGACGTGGAATTTCGGGGTGGGGGCAGCTCCAGGAAACACATAGCCTCAACTTAACCTCTTCATCCCCACTTTAATCTCCCTACTGGTATTTCTATAAACTTTGTGTCCCCAGTAAAACTGTAAATCTTATGACATGCATGGATTTAAACATTTTTTCTCCTAAAGTAAAATCTGGTTCCCATGTGTATACTTAATGAATATTATCATGTATCCTCTTCAAGATGCTCTGCGGCCAGAATTTATGTCCTTTTATGTGTGATCAGGAATTGATTGTCCTAATAAGTGTCTTCTTTTTTTCACCATGAAATGAAGGATAAATTAGTGTCTCTCCAGCCCATGTTACTTCTCTGTTAGGCATTTTCACTTCCAGCACTTGGGCTTTTCAAAGAGATTTTATTTATGGACAGATTCTTTTCAAATGTTGTGTATTATTCTTTCTGATAATAGTAACTTGAAACTTTTCTTAAAAAAGTATTTCAAAGGTTTCATGAATTCAGTCAGAAACATGCTTAGGGCAAATACAAAGTTTGGGAAGATTTTTTAAAAAATCAGTCCAATAAAGACAAATGAACTATGTACAATACGGGCTATAAACGGGGGTGAACCTTGAGAACATGATGCTAAGTGAGAGAAGCCAAATACAAAGACCGTGGATTATAAGATGACATTTGTATGAAATGTCCAGAGTAGACAGCTCTGCAGAGACACAAAGTAGATTAGTGGTTGTAGGGGCTAAAGGGGAGAACTCTGGCGGGGAGTGGAGTGGGTGCTCATGGGCACTGGCTCGTTAAGAATAAAAATGTTCCAAAGTTACATTGCGGTTGTGGTTGTACAACACTGAGGGGATGCAGAAAACATCGACTTGGATGGCATATGCATTATACCTCAACACCGCCATGAAAATATCGGTGTGTGTGCTCTACGTATTGTATCTCAATACTGCCGTTAGATATTCAGTTACCAAAAAAGACATTACTCCATGTAATTTCAATATTTTTGGATCTACTGAAAGTTCCTGAATGAGATCTAACAAGCAAGGTCTATTCAGTACATTTCCACTGAATTTGAATTTTACATAAATTTGAGTTAAATCTCTGAATTCTTTTCAATTTTTTCAGGTCTTCCAAAGGTATGAATTCTAGTTCTTCAACTTATTGTGTGCCCTTGAGCAAGTTACATAAACTTTCAAGCCTTGTATTCTTCATTTGCAAAAGAAAGCTCGTACCTCTACCACCTCCCCCATCACACACATATGCTGACGCACACACACTCACAAGACCAACACATGGACCTTTCAGGGAAAGGCTTTTCAGAAAGACAGAAAAGGGAAATATACTGTTATTGCATATAACACACAGTGAATGTGAGACATGGACTCACATGTATGCTATGAGAAGTAATCAATAAAAGACAAGAATAAAAAATGTGTAATGTAGCTTCTTAAGAATCTCTGGGTCTTCAGGTTTCTCCAGGGATGGTCAGAGCACCCAGAACTCCACATTCCTCACTCTCTATAGAGATGGGATCTTAGAAGAAGCAAAATAATAATGGAAGGGATAAAAATAAAAAGAAATCCAACCCATGCCATGAAGACCACCTGAATTAATGGTTTTGTGAGAATTAGGTATTGATTATCAACTCCACATAAGATGACAAGCTGTTGACCAAGCAAAGCTGAGTTTATCAGATTTACTGCAATAGGGAGAAATACCTCTTGGCAGAGTTTTAGTCTGCGGTGTCAGAAGTAGAAAGACAGTATCAGTTTAAGTGATTGGGGTTGGACAGTTTGTGGTGTGATACTTTAGGGTTGGTGACACAGTGAAGCAAGAGTTTTGAGGGGTCTTCATGTGAACACTGCTATTTGACAAATGAATGCCTTGTCACGCCAGCGATATATTGTCCTGACAAGGAGACTTTTGTTATGAGCAAATTGTTTCTCTTGATGAATTGGTTTACAGGGATTTCTGAAAACAATCACTAATGTTACATCTAAAATATCACTGCATGGTTGAGCACAGTTACCTTGGAAACCTACGGATTCATTAGCAGACACCAAAAGAGTCTGGATAGCAACCAAAGGAAGTGAGAATAAACCTGAGTTGTTTAGACTGTATGAATCAACTAAACTATGAGAATGTTTAAACCGGAAAGTAGACTCCTAACAAGAAGTGACTGGGGATGAAAAAGGCATTTTACCGGTAAGAACATTGCAGGCATCATAGTTGAGAGGTAACTAGGGACCGTTAACAATACAGGACCTTACGGAAGCAAAAAGGAATGAAAACCCACATAAAAACAGAGATTAAAAGCATGCAGATTATAACAGGACAATCTCTAGATCTGCGTTTTGGAAAAATATTCGATGGGTCTTGGTTGGAAACTATTTACTTCTTGCAAACTTATTCTTTATCTGAAGGTCTTGGGGGTAAGTTGTCTTCTCCCCAAAATCATCTGATCCAACCTTTGTTGTGAAATTTCCTGTTGGGAGGGTGGCCCAGGTGATTCAGGACCAAACCCTGTGGCTCTTCATCTGGGAGACAAACACCAGGGGTCTAGGCTCTGGAGTCTAATTGCTCTGCTCACGGTCGTTGGCAACTGACAGAGTTGTTTCCAGCTTGGGTTCAAGTCCTGTTCTTTTCCTTTCCCTTGTTCAAAAAGACAAGATCTCCAAGTTCTAGTTAGTAGAAGCTTCTTGGGAGCATATGGAGGAAAGGCAGACTGTATCCATTGGCTAGGAGACTGAGTATAACACACAGGAACTGTTTGAAGGATCTTGCTTTGTCTGCCTGAAGGAAGGTCGAGTTGAAAATTGGGAGGAGAAGCCCTACATAATAGGGAAACC